GGCCGGAATTCTTCTTCGTCGCTCCAAGAACAGCGGTTTTTTCGACTCTATTATTACATCAAATGAGAAAAGGGTCTGCTTCGATAACGCAACGAGAAAAGGACAGTGGTTAGACTCCAGTGACCCTCCAAAACGGACTCCGAAACCTGATATACGCGGCAAAAAGGTGATGCTCTTCCGGAATCGGGTCAGACGGTTACGGCGGACATCTGCAAACACCAATTGAACCGCATGGATCCAGCACTGCGTCTTCAAAGTGTCGAAACGACGTCGACAAAATTTATCCACGACAACGCTCATCCACATGTGGCGAAAATCACTCTAGAAAAAAATTGAGGAATTGGGCTGGAAAGTCCTGCCTCATCCGCCACACAGATCAGACCTGGCACCATCGATTACCATCTGTTCCGGTCGATGCAGAACTCCCTGGCCGAGAGAAAATTCACAAACCGCGAAAAAGGTCCAACTCTGGGTGTCCAACTTCTTTGAGTCGCAGCCGGTCGAGTTCTTCAGAAGAGGAATCCATTTTTTGCATAAATGTTGACAACAAGTCATTGATACTAATGGAGATTGTCTTTTGAATTTATCTTGTTTAATTTCGTTTTTATAATAAAAAATTTTTTAAGCTCGAACGCGCATTCCTTTCCGGACAACCCAATAATACTCTTAAATCCATTTTAAGGGCCACATGGCGACCCCCCCTCAAGCAAGCCAAATGACGACCCGCCTCCACAGAGAAGAAGTAGCGACCCCCCTAGTCGTGGTTTCACACAACAAGGCCGTACCTTGGTCCCTGTTTCCCATTTCCTTTATATTAATTATAAAACAGAACACAATAATTAAACATTAATAAATAATAGAGAATAATATATAAAGAAAATAGAAAATATAAATCTCCCCTCTTACTTTTCCATTAACACGACAAATTACTCTTAAATCTTGAAGGCACACCCCTCCCCTCTCCCAGCGACCAAATGCCCAAATACGACCCCCTTCCACAAGGAAGAAGTACGACCCCCCCCCCATGGTTTCACACAACAATGCCGTACCGTGTCCCTGTTTCCCATTTCCTTTACTTTTTACGCCTCTACGCCTTTTCATTCAGTAGTTCTGACAATGACTCTATTCATCCCTTCTTTACTTCAGATCGTGTTCATTGAACCGATCATCGTTTTTGTCATCCAATCCAGTTGTGTCTCTCATACTACACCGTTTATCCCTTGCTCTATCAATTCACCTTTTCCTCCCAGTTTATGATCTCTTTTAGCTCATACATAGGCGGCGTTCGGACTTCGCTGTAACGCGCCGTAAAGCGCTTCATCGCGAAGTCTAAACGCTGCCAGAGCTTGATAGAGCCAGTATGCCCCGCGAACACTTGTCACGAGCCGATATTAGCATTATCAGGCTGTGTCTACTCTTATCTGCCTTAGCACCAAAGGATGTCTGATCCAGTAGGGGATTCACAAGGGGGACGTCTCTTATTGACCACCGTTTACCTTTGGCCTCACAACTTCAAGAAAGACGAGTATTCTCAGGATATGGAAGGCCCGATAACGTTGGGCTTGGGCATGCTACAGAATCAGATTGAAGCTAATCTCTATGAGATTGCTAGCATAAAGTTAGCCAATATTGATTTTATCTAGGCCGCCGTAGTTTCAGAACTCAACTGGCAGAATGTGGAGGTTGGATCGCTGTTGTGACTATGCGCTGACCCTGCATTGCATTGGTGGAACGCGACACAGCGCTTTCACTCTCAGCCCTCAAACTCCGACGAGCAGTGGGAATAAGAAGTTGCTGCTCTACGTTAATCTTCACCGCTGTATCCAGTAATTGGACTAAACTGAACTGATGAGGGATATGCCTTGGCATTTGTAACACTTTTCAGGTCCCAGTTCCACTCTGACCGCTGGAATTTCGAAACCTGTCAGGACATCAGTGAAGGGACTTGACGGGTTCTTTAAGTCTCTGCTCGTCAAGTTCTGGCTCGAGGAATTCCATGAAACTAGTGACCGCAATGAGTTCATAAGTAGGTAAGTCGCATCCGGGCATTAATTAAGGGAGCCAGAGTTGCGACGCGGCATGCAGGCGCGTCGCTGACGCGGGCGTCAGTGTTTGCAACCTAATTTTGCCATTTTTCCCTGTTTAGTTGTTCTTGGTCTTCACAAAAGTGAATCGTAGAATGGGATTCCATGCTGATATTTTGGCGTCAAATCAACAAGTCGAGGCAATTGTACCAAAAAACCAAATTACCTTAAAGAAAATCGAAAACCTTATTGCAAAAAGGAAAAGAGTCCAAATCCTAACATGGCCATATTAGGCCGAAAGCAGTCGATCGCGCGTGTGCGATCACTGCAAGCCGGTACCCTAGATCAAGGGCGCGGATGACGACATGTACAAGCTAGTAATGTCAAATAGCATCACTATATATATAATCCGCCGCTAAGCTTGTCTGTTGGTGTGTGTGTGTGTGTGTGTTTGACCGGAAATTCATAACTTCCTTCAAAAGAGTGATAGAGCGCTCAAACTGATAAGTCATGTAGGGGGTCGTGCAGGAACACTATTGGTGGTGGCAGGAACTGATAAGAGCTGATAAGATACCACGAGCAGCCTTATAAGGGGAGGATCACCACATTCATAGCGCGGGCCACAGCAACGATGAGACCTTGGTTCCAGGAAGTAAGGTAGGGGGCAGGATGGGAACATTATTGGTGGGTGGCAGGAATTGATAACAGCTGATAAGATACCATAAGGAGCCTCAGAAAGAGTGGGTTACCTAATTCATAACACCGGCCAGAGCAATGACCGGACGTTGGATACAAGTAGTAAGATAGGGGGCAGGATGGGAACATTATTGGTGGGTGGCAGGAATTGATAACAGCTGATAAGATACCATAAGGAGCCTAGAAGGGTAGAGACACCTAGCTCACAACGTCGACCAGAACAACGGGACGTCGGTTCCAAGAGGCAAGATAGTGTGCAGGATGGAACCATTATTGGTTTGTGGCAGGATATGATAAGAGCTGATAAGATACCCCGAAAATTCACAGCAGAGTTGTTGCAACACTGTGGAACTGCTCCAGCAAGTAATTCAAGGGTGCTCACGGAACATTAAAGGTGGGAGATAGATTCTGTCAGTGTCCGACAACGGCTTTTTGGAACTCTATAGTCTTCACATCATCCTGGCCAATTTCTATTCCTAGCAATATCCCTCAGTTTAGCGGTCGGAATTGCTTCCACCGCTAAACGCTCGAGTTTCACCGGAAAGGAAATTGTTGGCCAGTGAGGAATGATAAGAGCCACTATGATTTCGACTTTTTTATTATCGAGATTCTTCCCACCGCTATGCTGTCCTATCCCCAACGAATGGTGCTTTTAGAAATATGATAGGCACCAAACACTGGCAAATGTTCATTAAAATGGGGAAACATGATGAAATGAAATTGGTCGTCCTCGCAACATGAAATGGAATTAGGCTAAGTGTTAGTGCTCAGGACAAATCCTGTCAGTTATCGTAGTACCATGGGTTTAACCATGCGCGCAGTAGTGCGCGTCAGCCAGACTGGTAATCATCAACTTCGGTGGTGTTGATTCTAGTTTATGAGGGCTAAATTTGGCACCCATATGTACTTTACAATCCTGCAACCTAATAAATAAGCTAAGGTGTTAGATTGGAAACGATCAAAAACCGCTAAGTCTCACTTTTTTCAATCATCTTTTTTTAGAACCGATGTTTCGCCATGCTCTCCACGTGGTGAGGAAATCTTGCGGATGCGGCAGGAACTGGAGTAAGTGATTTATTTAGTGATTTGATTTTTAGGTTGACTTTTTCAGAATCAGTGATCTAGAATTGGTGTTCGGAGATTTGAACCTAGGGTAGTAATGGAAGATGAGCGGCTGCTGGCGCTCAATGTATGGGAAAACAGTCTCGAAATCGACTTCCCAAACCTATTAAGCCTTCCATCCCTTCGGCATTGGCTAATTGGTGCCAGACCGGCTGTTTCCCGGGAGCCATCAAAGAACTTTTTATGTGGACACAATGAAATTTAGAACGGGCTTCATGGCTTCTATTGCCGTGGATCCTCAAGCTTCGGTCTCCTTCCATTGATTCCGGCGTCAGTATTATTCACTTCGGGGAGGGAGGAAGAGCAAATGGGACCCCGCGAATCTTGTGCAAGCCAGTTCGAAGAGACCTGCAAAACTTGGTAACCAAATTGCGTCACTTGTATCGTTTAGCGCCTTCCGAGGAGTTTACAGGTATTAGCCTGCTAGTTAACGGATACTAACATGAGGAACTAGCAAAAAAGCAAAATGCCCCCTCCAAGCCGAACAGCGCCTATTTTCCGAGACGTGCCGGTGAGATAAACAGACGTTTAGCTGGAGAAGGCAGCGAAAGATGTGGCGGGAAACAAAGGTGAACGACGAAGTGAGTGTCGTCTCTGGCACAACCATTACCCGAACGACTGCACAGGAGTTGGGTAATTGGGTAAATGGCCACACCTTCATTTGACAGTCCAGGTGTTCTGATTGGGAGTCAAATGGGAGGGGGATGTCCGAGACGAGACTGGTTGACACAAGGCAGGAACGATTTTCAGCAATTTCATCAAATTAATTCAGAGCTGCTCGTCGATCGATAGCAGAAAAAGATGAGAAAATGTGTCGATTGACGCGAATCCAGGATACGGTCGATGCCGAGGTGCAAGAACTTACCGAAAAACTTTTCCAGGTACGCAAGTAGGTGAACGAGCAGATTAGTTGACCTTATCGGTATTATTGCACAAACGAGCGTTTTATAAGCAATCTCATTTACTCAGCTCAATTGACCGCTCTTAGCTCTGAAAACTTGGAATCCTACTGTTATTTTAGGAGGCCTATCGGATGGTAAACTATGCTGAGGAACGCCGTGAACGATCAGAAAGACTGCTGAACGAGTCAAGGTTACAGGTTGGTTATTAATTGTTACCATTTATAATGCAGGGCATGGGAAAAGATGTAAAGAGCACATGTGTGGCCCACTGCACACGTGGCTGAGCGCCACCCATTGTGGGCGGGTCATGCCCCAAAAGTTAGCGGTGTCGTAGAAAAAACATGATTCTGTGATTGGGAAGGGGTTGGCCAACTAATCGGGGGAGACACCCGAAATTGGCAGGCGGTGTTCCCCACGGGATTCAATAACTTGGTTCATGAGAGAGTTCAGAGACTGAGTGCAGAAAAGTCTTTGTAGAGAGAGACATGGGCGAGAGTTAAGCGTGTATGTGATGGTATGTTGAGACCCACCCGCCGTGGGAGGAGCTTGCCTTCA